AATAATGGACATAAATTTGTGATAAATGTATAAAGAAAAGCAAGGACTGTTGTTGGGTGGAGGAACACAGGGACTTTCTGAATTACTCATAATGTTGTAACTTTTTACCTGCTTGATGGATTCATGGGTGTTCATTTTATTCAAAACATGCATTTCTTTACATACATACTTTTGAATATATGATGCTTTTTCAGTAAAACTGAGGGCCCAGGAGATGTTGGTTTGGGTTCATTCTGAAAACTTTGGCCATAATATAGAGAAAATGTTATTAATAAATGGAAAAATGTCTCTTAACTACTGTTTTACTGATGCTGCACTATTAAGCAGGACAGCGTGAATGTAGATGAGGAAACTAATGACTCAATGAAACGGAGAAGAGAAAGTTAAGATATTTATTAAATGGCATTTTAGTAATTATCTTAACATCTGTTTACCATGCTAAAATTAGCCCAATTAAGTTTGGAGTCCTGTCCCAAAATTTAAATATATGGAGTATGAGCTAAAGGAGATTCCATTTTCTAATGTAAATGTTACATTGTGTAGACTGTCAAAGTATGTCCACTCTATATAACCCCTGTTTGAGATATATCTGTTTAAATTTTATTGGTGATATTAAAAATAGTGGTTGCATTAAATAAATTCCCATAAGAGATTAAAGAAAAAAACTAAAGGTAATTCATGTGTCTGTTAAACACACATGACATGATTTTGTTTTTTAATCATTTAGATTAGTTAATAAGTTAACAATGACAGAAATCTAGCATTATTTTAAAATGTTTGAGTATGAAGAGGCTATGAATTATTCCATTATTTAATCCTTTTATAACAGCAAGTTTATGTGCATCCAAACATTTGAAGACATTTAAATAGTTTAATTTTGAAGTAATGAAAATGGAGAATAATTATTCAACATTGTTTTCCTGGTTACACTTTATATGATTGACATTTAAAATCATTATTCAGCCTTTTGTGCGACAAACATCCTTGCTCCAATGCTTTAACTTTTCCGAGTGTGTTTTTGTTTTCATTATTTAAATTGTTTTTGTTGCATTAAAAACTGCAGAAACAGATCTTAGCAGCATGTGGCCAGAGCAAGCAGGGTGTCACGATGCATGCCGTTTGAAAAACGAACTTGAAGCTACGTTAGAAATGATTTTATCCCTCTGCGTGTTTCCTCTTGAGGTAATTGGGGCATTGAAGTTACATAACTTAAAAGTTTGTCCTTAAATGGTAAAGTCAAGACTAAAATTTGGGCCAACTTCTAGAGCCTCATTTCTTCTCTACCATTCTGTCTTAATGAGATAACTCATTACAATACAAACACGCCATTTAATCAGTGGAGAGATCATTTTAACCCTACAAGATGCATGTTTATACGTCAGAAGTCTAGTAACTCATATCTAAGAAAACAGCAATACCTCAGTGAGTCATATTCAGTTTATTTTCTACTCTATGTTCCCTACATAAGATAGTATTTTGTCTACTTTACTGGACTCTAGCCAATGTTTTCTTTTCTACCTTAACAGCTTTAGAATAACACCATGCACCGCTTTTTACATGTATCAGAGACTCTGCCGGGTATCACAGGTGCATTCTTTCACGTACTCTTCACATCATTAGGAAGAAGGTGAAGTTCAGAGAGTTTAGGTGACTTTCCCAAGATCACACAGCAATTGAGTAGCAGAGCCAGGATTCTAATCCAGTTCTTTCTAATTCCAACATGATAAACTGCCTTTATCATGAAAGAAGCAGTTGAACCAGTAAGGAATTTACAGGTTTTTTTCTTTCTTTTAAAAAAGTTTTATTTATTTTTCATTTTATTTCTTTGTATTTTTTTCTTAAACTGAAAAGTGTCAAGGAATGCTGGTCTAGATTTTCATAGTGCAATGGTGAGGAAGTCACCTGGGACAGAACTAGAACTTCTATACTAGCTCCGAAACTGCTGTCATGAATATGTTCAGTAGGATGTTAGCCTCTATCTGTGTACATATTGGTTCATTTGCTTTTTGAACTTTGTCATTTGTCTTAGTTATTAAGCTCATTTGCAGTTCTTTCCTGTTTTCCATCTTTGTTAACATTCTGTTGAGTTCACGGCTCCTGGAACACTTGGTGCTTTCACCCTGGGGTCTACTCCATTTCCATGGCAGCGTTTACACAGATGCCAGAGCTGTTCCTCCCAGGACTAAATGCAGTTCATATGACAGTTAAGATCATTTAGAACATGAAGTTTGAATAGCATGATTGCAATGTCCCTGACCAATATTTAGAAGCTTCTTTCTGTGGTTTCTTTAATAGTAGAACACCCAAAGTCACATTCTTTTTGAGAAAATAAAGCACTGTTATCATAAAACTGGCTACATGATACTAGGAAACCATATTGAGTATACTGTGAGAAATACATTGTTAGTTTTAATGAGCATATATCAATTCAATGTGAGCTGTTGAAGTTGGTTAGTGTTACGGGTATATCATAAACTGAAAAAGTTTGAGCAGTTTAATACGTAGAGACAAGAATGGTTTGTGGGACAGAGATGGGGGCTGTCTGAGGTCCCCGTATAGTCTGTTGCTCGCTTTTCACTTGTCTTTATGGCCTGGTGCTCGGTCATAAAGGATATGAAGTTGATCCCTGCAGCAGAGATGGTCTGACGAAGATGCATTTCAGCAGGCACCAGGCACTCGCCTAGAGCCTTGATTCCTTTAGCGCCTACATGTATGAACATCGGCTGTGGAAACTGGGCTAAAATCGTACCAAATATATTCGTGACAGCAGCTTGGAGAAAAGAGATGGGTGGTTATTTTAATGGGTGATTTTATTATTAAGTCTCTTTACTAGGATTAAACCTGGCATCGAGCATTGAATTAAACTTGTTTCAAGTTTTCCTGAAAGGAGTAAAAGGTATTGTTTTACTGCCTCAGCTTTTCTCTTACATTTATGTGTGTTCTGGACGCTATGGGAGCGAAGAGAGACAGTGACAAAGATGGTCAGATGACAACGGGTCTCGAGACAAACTGTTCCTCTGAGAGATAGAACTGCCTTTGTGCATTCTCTGTCCCTTTATTCCCGCTCACACCCACGAGCTGGAAAAATACCCGTAACGTATGTCATTCTGTGGCAAAATCCAGTTAGCTTGGCAGAAGTAATTTATTTCAGATCCCTGTGGTTTTCAAGGATCTTTAAAATAAATATAAGATATTATAGAGATCAGACTTGAACGGTTTGATCAAAGTGTGGCACGAAACAATATAAATACACTCGTATGTAAACTTTAAATATTTCCAGAAAGTGCCTTTTCTAGAAAATACTAGAACATTTTGGATGTTCTGAACAGGTGCATAATGGTTGATTTGTGGTTACAAACACTATTTCTCCAAAATAGAATCCACTTAAGAATCAATTTTGAGAAGTGATAGTACTTCATAAATGCCACAGATGGAGAGAAACGGCAACATGCAAAACTAGCTAATGAGAACGGCTCACTTACGTCGAGTTCTTGTTACGGTCTGGGCTCTAATTGCTCTTTACTTATATTATCTCCCTTATTTTCACAACAGCCTATGAAAATGGTGTAATCATTATCACATTTTCAGGGATGGGAGCCAAGGGTTAGAAATGACAATAGCCGGTGAGCAGTGAGGCAGGCTTCTTGCTCAGGTGACGGGACAGGAGCTCAGAAGCCCATGATGGGAGGGTAGAGGAATCCAGAGAAGGACAGTTCATTCAAAACAGAACAAAACATGGGCCCCAGGAAGCTGTGTGGGGTCTGAGGAAGCTCAGTGCCCCGATGATATGCTGCTTTCATCCATAAAATAATGTTGATTTTAGGATTGGCACCCTCTTACTTAATCTTTCCTTGAAACTAATGAAGCATCATTCTCTGCTGAGAAAAATCACTCAAATGGCAGTTTCAGTTGACCACATTAATAAACCTTATAAATTGTCATTTTGATGCATTGCATCAGGTTACCAAATTTATCCTCCTAATTCTCTCTTTATGAAGCCACACTCTTGCTAGAATCTGTGTTTAATGGATTTATAATGTCCTTCTACTATGAAAATTCTACTTTCCATACCCAGTTGGTTGCTCATTGGACTCTGTTCTCTAAAGCAAAAGCAGATACTCATAATAACGTACTTGATCCCTATGGCGATAGTTCCTCTAACTGGCCAATTAATTCTCACCCTGCCTGTTTCCTTCACCATAAGGTAAGTTGGTAGTTAGTTACCTTTTGGGATTTTCAGCATATATTGGGTTATTGGTTGGAGTGGAGGTTTAAGGGAAGGAAGGAGAAGGGAAAAAAGGAATGAGAAAATAAAGCAACACACAGAACAGAAGGCAAATGACAATATTCCAAGTTAGAGGCCAAATATAATATCCTACTTGAGTAGAACAAACTAATCATTGTCTTTGTGGATAAGGAAAAACCAATGTAAAGGAGTATTTTGTATCAATTCGATTTTATATTTGCTTTAACTTCATTATTAATTTGAGGTAAGCACTTTTCTGTCCTAATTTTTTGTCAGCTGACTGCTTTGTAGGTGAGAAATGAATGCTTGAGAGTTAGAGAAATGTGGCTTCTTAACCCGGGCTTGAAAAATTCAGTAATTGTGACTTTGGAAAAGTAACCTAACTTCTGTTTTCTTGTCCACACAATGATGATAGTAATCCTTACCACAGATGACCTCTGGAGTTATTGATAAAGCTCTGAGTGCAGTGCCTATCAGATTGGTACTAAAATTGTAGCTATTGCTACGTATAAATAAAAAATGGATTAAGTATAGACTGTATATGGAATGATTTGGGAGCACATATTAAAGGATTGATAAGTACTCTCACTTTTTATATGAAAAAGCTTGAAGTATAAGGTAAATTGGGTCTGGATGCTTGACGATGATGGTAATGAAGATGGTGGTGGTGGTGATGGTAATAATTGTGGTGATGGTGGTGTTGGTGATGGTGGTAGTGGTGATGGTGAAGATGTTGATAGTGATGATGGTAATGATGGTTGTGTTGGTGTTAGTGGTGATGGTGGTGGTAATGGTGGTGGTAGTGGTGAGGGTGTTGGTGATGGTGTTATTGATGGTGGTGATAATGGGCTGTTGGTGAAGATGGTGATGGTGATAATGGTTAAGATGGTGATGATGATGTTGCTTTTCCTCTTTCCACACAGAATGTCCCCCCAGACCTCTCCATCTGCACCTTTGTGCTGGAACAGTCCCTCTCTGTCCGGGCCCTACAGGAGATGCTGGCGAACACGATGGAGAAGTCAGAAGGGGCAAGTATTTAATTTATGTATTTATATATGTAGTATTTTTTTTATATACGCAGTCTTTTAAAGAACCTGGCCATGATATGAATGATTTATTTCACAGACATTGGAGATTTTGTTTTTGCTGAAATAAGTCAATGCTTTTTACTTGTGATTTCCTTAAGCTTGACTTTCATCTTGATCTAGCAGATCTGTGATGTCTTTATGAACTTAAAAGAAATCGAACTTCAAGATGATCCATGTCTTTTAACCTCATTCTTATGTCTTTGATTTAAAAGAGTATCTTTCTTTGAGCATTTATGTATTTTCTTCCATCTTCAGAGCTGTTATTATAATTTGTCATTAATCTTTTAAAAAATTATTCTTTATTGTTGAAAGTATTACATATGTTCCCTTTTCCCCCTCCATTAATTCCCTTGTTGTTATTCTTTATTTCATCTTCAAAAACCTCTAACAATGTACTTTGCTCTAAGCTTCTATATGGCCAGTAAAATTTCATGGCTCTCATATATTTTAAGCAATGAAATTATGGTGATGCAGCTTTAGTTGACTGTAGTTTGCAGTCATTTTCTTTTGCAAATTGAAATTCTTATTCAGTCTCCTAGTGCAGAAATGTTCTTTTAAAGCTTATTTGGTAATTTAAATTATTTTCCATGCTGTGGGTTACTATAACTAATGTCTGGGTTACTTAGTCAATTCTTTAAGGTTTAGAATTAACCAGGAGGCTGAATGGTCAAACTTTTGGGTTTTGTTTTTGTGTGTGCTGTAATTACTGCAGGACATGGTTTAATAAACTACACTATTTCCAGGCATGGAACTGAACATTTTTTGTGGCTATTATTTGTCTATGTGTTGCCATTGTTGTTAATCATTGTTCAGGTCTTAATACGTGAAGAGTTTTAAAAACTGTTCAACAGAAAATGAGCAATCAATTATGATGTAAGATATTTTCACTAGCCTACTTTTAAAAATTTTAGTGTCATGCAGTTTAGGATTTTAATTGGTTTGTGCATTAATAGTAAATTAATTTAAAATTTTATAGTATACTACTAAGTATGGAAGAGATTTTTATTTTTACGATTTTTTTTAGTGGTTTTTATTTTATGTTAGACTAAAAGCTTATTTTATGATGTGTATATTTAAATTTGCCAAGTTTATTTTTGGTTACAACAAAGTTTGAAATTATTATATTATATAAAGTTTAAAAATGTTTCCTATTCTTTTATGCAAAGCTTTTGGAGTAGGCTTAAATTGTAGAGGAGTAAAAATATTACTCAATTTGACTAGTTTGTTTCTACCTGGAATAACCCCTCCTGATATTTAAACATTATTCATGCATCTCAGCTTTGAAACTGAAGTCTGTCTTTACAAAGAAAAAAAATCAGTTTTCTTTTGCATAAGCATCTAGGAGAGTACATTGTCATTTCACTTGTCTTTGTAGATACCAACTTACAACTAAATTGCCATAAATTTAATTTTGATATTGCTAAGCAGCTGTTTCTAAATTTGAATTTTTGAAAAGATGTATTATCCCCCCAGAGTCCTGGAGTTGAACTAGGCAAGCTCTAAATTTTCTGTGTATATATGAAGTGTTGGAAATACTGTTTTAAAATTTATGCTTTAAAAATATTTATTAGTAAGACTTTCTGGACCGCACTCCCCAACATATTTTTATTTAGCTGAGTTTTATTTTGAGTTGTAATCCATCTATAAAGTTTCTGTCAGAGAGAAGGTGGTAATTTATGTGATGGGTGGAACATCATTTTATAAAGCCCAGCATAGCTATCATGAGACACTAATTAGAAAATAGTAGTAAAAATGGAGAGGAACCTGCTACAGGAAGGAATGTACTGCATTGAGCTGACTCTCACTTTTAGACTACTAACGGTTAGGGAGAAACCACTGTCAGATGGCTCAAAGGGATGCTATATTTTTGGCAAAGAAAGGTTCTCTCTCAGACGGCAGAGTTTTGATTATACACAGAAATGATATTCAGAATATTTCACAGTTCGTTTGGCACAAGCATCAATTAATGAGAGTGGACCCCAATCAGCAATGATGCTGGAGGCAAGGCCCTTGAGAGGCTCTAGGATGGTCTCATTTGGAAAGGCCTGGGGTGGCCAGGGGGAGGGACACTGGAGACTGGGAGCAAGACTGTTTCCCTACAACAACCATCTTTTAAAAAAATATATTTTGTATTGATTTTTAGAGAGAGGAAGGGAGAAGTAGAGAGAGAGAGAAACATCGATGAGAGAGAAACATTGATCGGCTGCCTCCTGCACACCCCTGCTGGGGCGTGAGCCCGCCACCCTGGCATGTACCCTGACCGGGAATCCAACCAGCCACCTCGTGGTGCACGGATCAGTGCTTAACCACTGAGCAATACTGGCTGGGCTACAACAACCATCGTAATTATCAAAGTGCAAATGGCTACATAGCAGGTCTGATTACAGTTGGCCAGCGGATGCTGCTGGTCCTTGTCACAGTCCTGTCTCTGGACTCCATAGGTATCCGTGTCCTCAGTCCTGAAGCCTCATGAGTCATAGCCTCTCCTTGGAATTCATACAGGAATCTATAGCAGATCCTTCATCAAGCAAGTTGTCACCTCCAGCTTAGTAAGTCATATTTTACTTCATTTGAATACTTAGAGGAGTAGAGAGGTAGGTTCAACTCTTCCAGATCTGAAAACTGGATTATCTGGTAGGCTCCCGTAGCCAGCAAGGGGCAGAACGGGGCAGAATCCGGTCCATGGGTTCTAACGTCTGTGCTTTTTAAGCTCTTTGTTATGAGTGTCCAGTAAAGAGAGCAGAGCAGTGTCACTATTGCCGCAGGGGGAGGAGGAGGACGAGGTCACAGAGAAGTGGCCCAAGAGGTCAAAGGAGAGCAGGAGAGGACAGTCAGAAGCCGCCTGGATTAGTTTCATGGCTGCTGTTACAAGTACCACCTACCTGGTGGCCGAGAACACCGTCAGTTTATTTATCTCGCAGTTCTTGAGGTCAGAAATCTCAGTCAGCCTCCCTGGGCAGGACTGTGTTCCTTATGGGCCCTCGGGAGACCTGCCCCTGGCCTTTTGTAGGTGACATGCTTGGCTGAGCCATGCCCATCCTGAGACCAGCAGCACGAGATCTGTAACATACTCCTTGGTTCTGGGAATTGGGAGCTGAGCGGCTTTGGGTGCCATTAAATTACACCGTGGAAGTACAGAGTTCCAGGGAGAGGCGATTGACAAAACCAAATAAAAATCAGAGAAGTTGAGTTGATTAAGGACTGAAAAGTGTACTTGGTTTGACAGGAGCCTGGTTTTCCTGTAAACCAATCAATATTAAGTTCAGTTTATCTTATATAAATGATTCGTAGATTCTCATACATTTTGCGTTTGAAAGAGTTTATTCCCTGAAGAGTTTTTAGTATTTATTGGTAGTTCCAAAAGTAGATCTTAATATTTCTATTCCACCCTATTCTTCCGGTGTTTGGCACATGTCCAGTGGCACCACATCTACAAGACTGACTGTGCCCAGCTGGCGTGGCTCAGTGGTTGAGTGTCAACCTATGAACCAGGAGGTCATGGTTTGATTCCCAGTCAGGGCATATGTCCAGATTGCAAGCTCAGTCCCCAGTAGGGGGTGTGCAGGAGGCAGCCGATGGATGATTCTTTCTCATCGATGTTTCTACCTCTCACTCTCCCTTCCTCTCTGAAATCAATAAAATAATATATTGAAAGATTGTTCAAGCTCTTCGGCAGACAAGCCATGGATCTAGAATTAAAAGAGCTAATGATGTAGCCACCTGGTTGAGTTGATATTGATTTTTTCCATTTGTTTTCTCTTCACGACCGTGAATGGGGTAGTGTGGAGGGTAGAAAGCTTGACAAACCTTGCGTGGGTTTATGTAAATAGACTGTGTCCTGTAGGTTATTAAAAGTAGGTCTCGGGTGGCCGGGAGAACGACTTACTGGAGGAGTGAGGTTTACTTAACCACTTGGTGTTATTCATCCAGTTTCAAATATGTCACTGCTCTGCACACCAGTCTCCATTAACATACAGAATTAAACGTTTGGGATGTGAAACTGTGATTACACTTTTCAATACTGTTGGGACAGTGGATGTCTGCCTCTGAAGCGACCAGACCAAAGACTGAAAGGGCTACGATTTAGTGAAGAAAAATAATACCACACTCACGTTTTTTACTTGTGCTGCAGCAGTATGCCTGCCTGGGACATGGCAGACTCCAATCAATCAATCAATCAATCAATCAATCAATCACAATCATTCAGTCTTTGATTAATGGTACTGTTAAAAGTAATTAGTGCCGCCTGGCAGATGTGGCTCAGTGTTTGAGCTTCATCCCATACCCCAAAAAGTTGCTGCTTAGATTCTGGTCAGGCACATGCCCAGGTTTTAGACTCGATCCCCAGTAGGGGGCGTGCAGGAGGCAGCTGATCAGCTCTCATCATTGATGTTTCTATCTCTCTCTCCCTCTCCTTTCCTGTATGAAATCAATAAAAACATGTTAAAAAATCTAAAAAAAAACCCCAAAACACAAAAACCAATCTTCTTAACAGAAAAAAAGAGAGAAAAAAGTAATTAGTGCCTGCCATGCATACAATATAAAAATATAAATTCCAGTTTAAATCCCAGAACCATTTCAGTGTTTTGCTCTCATAACAATAATATAGGAGAGTATAAATGGAAAATACCTTCCTCATAACCCTCCTTTCCCTGACGATAACCACAGCTAAAAGAGTGTTTGTGTTCATCTAGAGCATGTTGGGACAGTGGATGTCTGCCTCTGAAGCGACCAGACCAAAGACTGAAAGGGCTACGATTTAGTGAAGAAAAATAATACCACACTCACGTTTTTTACTTGTGCTGCAGCAGTATGCCTGCCTGGGACATGGCAGACTCCAATCAATCAATCAATCAATCAATCACAATCATTCAGTCTTTGATTAATGGTACTGTTAAAAGTAATTAGTGCCGCCTGGCAGATGTGGCTCAGTGTTTGAG